ATGAGTCACAAATTATTTAAGTAAACACTTAAAGAGTCACACTTAAAACCAGTCTGCATTCATCATGTTAAGCCCAAGTTTTATTGCAACAAACACGTCACAAGTACTGGCAAGAGACTACTAGAACTCATCCATAGCACTGAATACAGCAATCGTTTATCAATGACTGGTTTGCCCAATGATGCCTGTTATGTGTAAGGCATGGAAAATGCAGGAAGAGTTCAAAGTTAAATCAAGTCATCTTCACTCTGGTCCAGTAAGGATAACAAGACTGATGCTCCTATTCTGGTGGCAGCTAATCATTGATAACATCCATTCCAGACTGACATTCTCATTTTCCCCTAGTTAATGCTGCATGCAACCACAACATCCATTCTCTCCTTGCATATGTACAAACCTAGTCCAGATTTCCTGCAGTAATCCCAAACCAGGAAACTGAGATCTGACATTTGCCCCACTGACCAAGCATACTGGTTAGTAGGCCAGAAACTTCACATGGAGAAGCTTATGTAGGTTCACACAATTACATGTGATTTCAAACTTGTTTCACCAGTGTTGACATACATAGCTTAGCCCATTCCAATAATTATATAATTTCTTATCTGTAAGGCTTCACTGGTTGATATCTCCTAGACTGATGAGTTAGAAACAGATGCTTGAAAGGATCTGTCATATTCAACGATATTCCCACACCCTCTGACAGGGAACTATGCCCATTTCCTTGGCTGACCAGAAAAATACAAGGAAAACAGATCTGTAGAATCAGAACTACCACCATTGTCAAGAGGATCTCAAGCTAGTAATCCCCTTGATCGAATGAGAGGGACAAGAAGGTGCGTAGCAAGAAACAAGGGCCCTTCTAGCAGCTCTAACATTTATCTAGAAGAACTCTGGTCATTTCCTAGTCCCCAAGTACCTAATCAGGATGAATGTATACCCTGAGAACTTAAAGGGCAGCCCTGACCCAATGAACAAAAGTGATCAGGATAGGAATACCAAGAGGAATCCCCTTAGCATTTTTTCTTCCCAGAGCCAAGAATAAGGCCAATGATATTCACATCAAAAGAAGAAAATGGCATGGTGCCCATCCTCTGAATTACTAGAATGCCTCCTTCAAAGACAAGATGAAATATCTTCACCATATTGTACCATCACAAACTTAAGCCAACTGAAAGTCATAGCTTCTGGGCCAGCTATGATGTCTTTACTCACCATCTGAATTGGGTACTTTGAAACTATTGCCCAGGAGAATACACTCCTCGGCCCTTATCAGGGAGATTGTAATCCTTTAACCTTAGAGTCGTTTCACCACCTTCTCAAGTCCTACAAGATTATGATGGCAGAGCCGGTAAAGCTAAGAAGACTGATGGCCTTAGGATTTGAACAACTATCACTGAAGGAAGAAGACTGAGTCTCAGCAATATGCCTTGATAAAGGACATTCTTACATTCTTTGGTTTACAAATGTGTCAAGTTCTAGAAAACTTACTTCCTTAGATAATTGGTCTTCGATTTCCCTTGTGGCCACATGTGATTTGCTTTTGCTTATAGTTGATACCTGTATTAGGTATAAGTTTCCTTTGTTGGTTTTCTTTGCTGTTGCTACTTTTGTTAGGATAAATTCTATACAACTGCTGTGCTTTGGAGGCTCTATAAGCTTTGTGTTAGCTGCATTCAGAACTGCTGGTCTTTGAGGTAAGAGTCCACCAGCAGTCCAGCTACTCTCCAATAAAGACTTGCAATTTGGTCTTTTAAGTGCTAGCTTCTGTTTCTCACGATCGAGTTCCTGTACAGCAATGGCCTACCCCATTATCAATGGCAAAAATGTTCAACCTGCTGGTGCCTTCAAAACCACAGGCATGTGAACAAGTGGTAACCTTTTATTGAAGATGGCCACATTGCATTTATTGCAGCCATAGATTTGTGGCATGGAAACCCACCCCGACTAGTTCTTACACCTGGCACTTACACCTTGTACCTCCTATGCTTTGGCAAGTCTCTGGATTGGAGCAGGAGGATAATATACTTGCAAATGCTACTCCCCAGCTAAGTAGCAGAGCCTTCTAGTTTTGCACAAAGCCTAGTACACAAGTGCTCTACGGCAGATCCAAGATCAGTATAACCCCTCCCCTATCAACAAAGGCCCGAAAACTCCCACATCCCAGTGACAAGGGTGCCTATGGTAGACCCAAGCCATAGCATTCTATAGAGAACAGAATGGCTCTGGCAGCATAGAACCAGGAAGTCACTTAAAGTAGCAGCTCATACACGCATCCAAGATGCCCAGAAATCTATTTCAAGAGGATCCCATTTCTCTCAGGTATGGAAGAGAAAAATATGTTAAAATGTTAAAAAAAATGCTGTTTCATCTGAGAAATTTCTCCATATACTGGTCAGAGTTCCAGGAGAATGCTGGATTCAAAGTGGTTTGAACTATTTTATATAGGGAAAGGATTTGTAGAATGCAAGTGGTGAAAAAGAGGAGGATGCATCAGAGACTAGAATGGTCAGCAGCTACAGAACCAAAAGAATCAACTGACAGTCCAGTGAGCTGCACTTGTAGGAGGAATGTAATGTCTGAGTCGCTATTCACTGGCATCAAGTTAGAAAAACCCCAGACAAAGGCTGCCAGTGGTCAGCCTTTGTCCCTTCTCCATCCTTGCCAAAAAGCAGAAGATCATCTCTCCCTCCGTCAAGTTCACCAAGCTGGCAGCCTTGCAGAAGGCTGGGGATAACCTTGAGGCTTATCACCAGCTGCACTGAGTTGCTGCATTAGTCAGGAGCTTATAATAAATATAATTTCTGTAATTGTGTCAATAGCATTGACAGTTATTAGTCATACTGATCAAGTCAAGATTATGTTTTGCCTATGATCCTGTGACTCAAGGCTATGTTTTGCTTCTGTTAACCTTGCTTGCCTCAGTAACAGGGCCTTAAGACCACCAATTAAAGACCACCACAGAGTGGTCCCACTGTGGGCGGCCTATTGCCAGTTAGGACGTATGATATTTACCATAAAGAACAAATGAATTTAAAGGTCAGATAACTACAACCAAGTAAAATGTGCCAAACCTGCCTTGCCTGGCTTGTCTATGAAACTATGCAACTTACCCCTTAAAACCCTGGGGTCACAGTCACAGCTCCTGAGTTTGTGCTGCATCCCTGGCACGCCAGCTAGCCACTTGCCCAATAAATTCATCTTTTTACATGAGGCTGTCTCTGCGTGGTGGAGTCCAGTGGGATGTAATATCCCCACCGGGAGAAATGTGGAATCCCCTCCCCCTGACCCCATAACAGGAAGATGCCCCTGGACGGATAAGCAGGCCTGAAGAGACACTGATACCCATCCCATCCAGGTGCAAGATGCCACGTCAAGTTCAAGTACCCAAATAGCTTCCAACATTGCACTTTCCTAGCCAGACCCACTGCACAGTAGCTTTCAAGGGAGCCAGCAATGTAGCCCACAGGCTCTGCCCCTGTTGTAGCACAGAGCAGCGTGAAGACTGAACACAGGAAGGTCAGGATGGCCAGCTTTCTTGGAATACCCGACTTCTGACTAATGGGGACCTTTAGACAGGGAAAAGCAACCTGCAGAGGATAGCTGCCGCAACTAGGGATCCAGCTGGCATGAAAGAAATTCATCAAGCGCAGGATCTGTACCCAGCTTCAGCCTGTGTCCCGCTGTAGCAGCCACAGCTCTGGACGGAGCCTGAACTGGACACATTAACCCTTCTGCTCTAATGAGGTCAAACAAGTTACATGGATATTCATGGTCACTTTTCCAAAAATACTTCTTTAATGTCACAGTCAGCTTCCTAGGTCTGTTAGGTTACAAATTGTAATACTGTGGTATGTAAGAATGTAAAAAAGGAAAGCATGGTTGATCTGATGCTTAATCAGGTTTATGTTCAAAGAGGAGACATAGTAGGCCCCACCCTAATGCTTTAGCAATGGCATTCTGATTGATTTAAATTCTATTTTTCTCTGTATGCATGGGGTACTGCTCAAGGCATGCTTTCTTTATACAATACTTTCTCCTGTTGGCTTTTCCTTCAGATTGGTCTGAGTTACTGTTAATAGTTGGCTCAGGATGTACAGATTCACAGCACATCACCTGTTGATATTCCACCTTTTTGTGCCTTTGGATCATGAATAGTTTCACTCTGCTTTCATCAACACATATCTAATCCGAATCAAAACCATCACTAGGCAAGACTTGACTTTCCAGTGTTTCCTGCAGGAACACTGAAGACTTTGAATCTACTGGGTTTATAACATGACAATGAGCCAAGGATAAACTCACCTTTGTGAGCAGAGTCAGTAACATTCTTGCATCTTTGCATTCTGATCATTTTTAGAAACTAGTCTAAAGTCTGAGTTTTATCAGCAGTCTCTACCTTTGGATGTCAACACCAGTTATTTAAGTATATCAGTCTCAAATTGATACCTAGTTCTAGTTAGATTTTCATACTCAACATAATTGAAGAGAATATTCCCTTCTCTAAAAAGGACTCTGGTTTAGCGTCAAATTGTGTGCCCGAAAGTTCTGGTGGCTGCACCAATGTTTACTCTTCCAGAATCAGTTTATCCTAGGATGGGACAGAAAGAGTGTGAAGGACTTCTCCTGGCCTCTCTTGCAAGTAGCTTTCTAAGTCAGCAAAAGGCCCCTCCCAGACCTAAGCTGGGCCCTTGATGACTTTATCTCTGGGGCAGGTGGGGCAGGTGGGGCAGGTGGAGCAGGTCCCACCTCCTGCCCAGCACTGTATAAATAGGAGTCAAAGGCAAACTGGAGCCATTCTCCTTTTCCCTTTGTGGGATTGTGGCCTTGTCAGCTCTGCTGGAGATAAACCTCTCTCCAGGGACACTGTCTGCGTGGTCTTCTGGGGGTAAGTTCCTTCCGGCCATCAACACAAGACTGGGCACTTTCTAAGAGGACAATCGGTGACTTGCACTGGGCAGCAGCTAAGAAGGAAGCCAGGCCTGTTCGGGAAGGATACCGCGATGTCCCTGGAAATCGAGTCTTCCGATGTGATCCGTCTGATCCTGCAGTACCTGAAGGAGAACGGTTTACATCGGGCCTTGGCTACCTTACAAGAGGAGGCTGCCGTCTCTCTGAATACAGTGGACAGCATCAAGAATTTCGTGGCTGACATTCATAGTGGCCGTTGGGATACTGTCTTACAAGCTATACAGTCTCTGAAATTGCCAGACAAAACCCTCATGGACCTCTACGAACAGGTTGTTCTAGAACTGATAGAACTCCGAGAATTGGGTGCCGCCAGGTCAGTTTTGAGACAGACTGACCCCATGAGGATGTTAAGAAAGACCCAGCCCGAGCGGTACATTCATCTGGAGAACCTCTTGGCCAGGTCTTACTTTGATCCTGGTGAGGCATACCCAGAAGGAAGCAGCAAAGAGAAAAGAAGAGCAGCCATTGCCCAAGCCTTAGCTGGCGAAGTCAATGTGGTGCCTCCATCTCGTCTCTTGGCATTGCTGGGCCAGGCTCTGAAGTGGCAGCAGCACCAAGGGTTGCTCCCTCCTGGTCCCACCATAGATCTGTTTCGAGGTAAAGCAGCTGTCAAAGATGTGGAGGAAGAAAAGTTTCCTACACAGCTGAGCAGGCATATTAAGTTTGGTCAGAAGTCACACGTGGAATGTGCTAGATTTTCTCCTGATGGTCAGTATCTGGTCACTGGGTCTGTTGATGGATTTATTGAAGTATGGAACTTTATGACTGGAAAAATCAGGAAGGATCTTAAGTACCAGGCACAGGATAACTTCATGATGATGGACGCTGCTGTCCTCTGCATGTGTTTTAGCAGAGATACAGAAATGTTAGCAACTGGGGCCCAAGATGGAAAGATCAAGGTGTGGAAGATTCAGAGTGGACAGTGTTTAAGGAGGTTTGAAAGGGCACACGGTAAAGGTGTCACCTGTCTGAGCTTTTCCAAAGACAGCAGTCAGATCCTTAGTGCCTCTTTGGACCAGACAATCAGAATTCATGGCTTAAAATCTGGGAAAACCCTAAAGGAATTTCGTGGTCATTCCTCCTTCGTTAATGAAGCAACATTTACACAAGATGGACATTATATTATCAGTGCTTCCTCTGATGGCACTGTAAAGATCTGGAATATGAAGACAACAGAATGCTCAAATACCTTGAAGTCCTTGGGCAGCACTGCGGGGACAGACATTACTGTCAACAATGTGATCCTGCTTCCTAAAAACCCAGAACACTTTGTGGTGTGCAACCGATCAAACACTGTGGTCATCATGAACATACAAGGCCAGATTGTCAGAAGCTTCAGCTCTGGTAAGAGAGAAGGTGGTGACTTTGTTTGCTGTGCTCTCTCTCCTCGTGGTGAATGGATCTATTGTGTGGGGGAAGACTTTGTGCTCTACTGCTTTAACACAGTCACTGGCAAACTGGAGAGAACTTTGACAGTTCACGAGAAGGATGTGATTGGTATTGCACATCATCCTCATCAGAATTTGATTGTTACCTACAGTGCAGATGGACTTGTAAAGCTCTGGAAACCCTAATTCACATTTTAAAAATCTAGCTTGAAGCATGTACTTAAATGAAGACATACTCATGTGTTTGTGTTTTCAGATCAGCTTTCTAAGGAAAAAAATTATCCCATTTCCCCAAGGATAATTACAGTCTTAAAAAGTTTCTCTTTTAAAAATATATTAAGATTTTAGTTTTTCTGCTTATAACTATGGTAGACATTACTGACATTTCTAGAAAAAAGATGGGACTTCTTTGATTATCTGAAATCCTGATTGCAGTTTACTTCCCATCATAAAACTTGTAAATAACCCTGTATTCCGTAGCTGTTTTTTTAAAGATGTTAATAAACTACACATTTCTGGATGCTTTGTAAATACATGTTCACCCCTCCCCCACCCCCCAAAAAAGATGAAAATTTGAGACACGAACCTTCAAGCTATATGCTTTGGTTTCTCTCTTGGAAGATTTGTAGGTACTGATGACCCAGTACTTGGAGAAGGTCTAGACTTCTGTTGCTTTTTGTTCATGGTTACAAGTCAAACTAAAAATTGCTCATGCTTGGAATATTAGAACCAAGGAAATAAGGTTCCCTGTTGAGATACTACATATTGCCCGAGTTGAAAGCACCATTTTGGACTTCTGTGTGAAGATGGTGTCCGGCAGTGGATAAAATACTTGGACTTTCTGACCAGGCCCTGGCTGGCAGTGGACTTAGCTCTGGAGGTGGCAGTTAAAGATTTGGAGACTGGAGTTCACCTTGTGAAATGCAGTTGGAATGGTCTCAAATTGTAGGATTAATGGGAATAGCCTTTCAGTTACCTAGGATTGTTGTTGATATGAAGTCATGTTTAACTGTATTTACTAAATGTTAGTTGACAACTTGATGTACCATGTTTCCCTTGTATGGCCTTATTTAATCAAACCATTGTTCAAATAAAGTTCGTAAATTTGCCTCATAGCATTTCATTGGTAACTTCATTTTGTTCTTTATAGGTGTTAAAGAATGACCATTGACTTTCCACTTGGCATTCTTGTTGCTGGGCAGTTTATATTTATCCCCATATGACGTTATTGAAACTGGGCAGTTTGTATTTATCCCCATATGACATTATTGAAATGATCTCTTTGGTGTCCAGAAAGAATTTCTTACTGGGTTTGGAGCCCAGAGAAAATGTAATAAATGACTAAGAAAGATACCATATACTTGCCAGTTCAACTAAAAGAGTGACAAAGAACAAGGATACTGTGATTTAATGTATACTCAAAGAATAAAATGTCTCCCAATTACTGTGCCCAGCACTTTCAGAGGAATGCATTCTAATCTTTGCTTCATGAATTCCACTTTTTTTAAATGTTCTATATTTTTAGTTGTAAGCAGTAAACTTGATTGTAACATCCTTGTAATTACTAAACAAGGTAAAGTAAAAGTCCGAACATCTTATCCTTGACATACTTCCTCATCAGTATAGACAGAAAAGAATTACAAAAGAATTACATTATTTCTGAAGCTGGAATCAAGAATGAGCCATGGGTCTGAATTGATGTTCACACCCTCAGACATCACTGTTGATGTTTCATACATACAGATGTTACTACTGAAATCTCCTTAGAAGTCAGGGCATAAAAGTGTCTTTAAAAGCACACCGATTTTGCTTGTGGATCCAAAAAAACAGAACTTAGGATTATAAAAAAAAAAATGAAACCTTTCCAAATATTTAGGGGGAAAAAATGGACACTACAGGAAGATACCTAGAGTTCCCCAGTCTGAGAAGCAGTGACTGTATTAAAAAAATTAGTAATGACAATAGTTTAAAAAGTTTTAGATTATGAAATCTCAACAGCCTCTGGAGTATAGTCGCTAATAGCACTTTAGTCTGATAAGCTATTTCTCCTGCTTTATAAATCTATGTTAGTTGTTTAAATGGCTTGAAGTATTTCAGAAGACACTATGACAAAAATTGGCTGATAGCTATTCCTAGAGCTGTCTTAAGAGAGCAACATCCTGTTGAGTGTTGGTAACTTAAGAACATCACCTCTGAGGCTTGTGCTGCTATCCTGGTAGCACACGTCCTTGCCCTTAGAGAACTTCTGTTTTTAAATTGAAGGCAGCTGGCAGCCAGGCGCTGGTGGCTCAGGCCCTGTGATCCTAGCTCCTCAGGAGGCTGAGATCTGAGGATTGTGGTGCAAAGCCAGCCCAGGCAGGAGAGTCCATCAGACTCTTGTCTGAAACCACTCAGAACACCAGAAGTGGCATTGTGGCTCAAGTAGTAGAGCACTGGCCTGGAGCTGAAGAGATGAACACAGCCCCAGGCCCAGAGTTCAAGCCCCACGACTGACCAAAGGGAAAAAAAGATACCCAAGCAAATAGGACCAGGCTTGCTGTCACATAGGAATGAATTTCAAAGAAAATAGGAAAAGAATAAAAGTGCAGATGTATTTTTTGAATCATAGGCACACAATTATACTGCCTAGCTGCTGCCATTTCTGTATCTTCTGGGAAGGGCAGAATATAAGAGAAAGGAATTCAGACATTTTAGTCCAAAGAACTGGTTTTCATAATTATTTAAATGTGATGGGATTAAAAGCATTCTACATTTAAACTGTTGCTCAGCACCAGTATTGTATATATTACAAATCGTAATTTCTAAGTCTGGATTTTTTGTGTGTTTGACTGTTTCTAAGCTAAATTACCTGTCTATAAAGTTTTTCTGTTCTTGAAAAGATCCTATTTTTAAATAAAGCATTTTTCTATATTAAAAAATGTGTAATTTCTTTGAAAGTGGCACAAAGAGGAATACAAGAAACTAAGACTCACAGGAGAGAGTGGAAAGGATGGAAAACCAGGGCAGCCAGTCAAGAGGGAGTTTCAGTAACACAGAGACTATAAAGTGGGCTCGTCTTCCCAAGATTGGATTCCAAATGTCATGACCAAGACAGCCCCACCCTCTGAGATGGGAGGACATTACTGCAATGTCTGTGACTGTGGTGAGAGACTCCATCAACTTCCTGGATCATATGAATGGAAAGAATCAACGGAACCTGGGCATGCCTAGGCATGTGGAACGTTCTATCCTGGATCAGGTGAAGAAAGGCTTTGAGGTCAGTCAATAAGACGTAAACCAGCCAAAGGATTATGATTTTGAGCAGAGGATGAAGAAACTCAGAGGAAGAAAAGGCTAAAGCATACAAGAAAGAAACAAAAGACGAACAGGAGAGTGGAGGAGGACTTGACATTTGAGGAGGAGATGGTGGCTGTGATGGGCTTCTTGGCTGTGGTTCCACCAAGAAGAGTTACTGAGCCTTTCTCTGATGGGCCTAATTTTGGCCTGTGTTGGCCTTATTTTGTGGGTGTGCGTATTTGTTAGGGGGGTGGAGTCATTCCTTTTGGATACTGGGGAAAGACCTTCAGAGTGTTAATGGCCAGACTTGAGGGTGGGCATTTGTGGCTCAGAGGATGTTCAGATTCATATGACATTACCTACTCATATTCCACCTTTTCATGCCTTTGGATCATGAGTTTTACTCTGTTCCCATCAGTACAAATCCAATTAGAGACAAAACCATCAGTAGCCAAGACTTGACTTTCCAATGATTTCTACAAAGTTCTGTTTATAACATGACCAGAAGTCATATTATTCCTGTTTATAATATGACTCTTGGTCATATTATAAACCTAGAAGATTAAATGAACCAAGGACAAACTCACCGTTGTGAGTAACATTCTTGTATCTTTGCATCCTTATCAATTTTAGATCATTTTTAGAAACTCTAAAGCCTGAGTTTCATCAGAAGTCAGTCTCTACCTTTGGATGTCAACTTCTGTCAATACCAGTTATTTTCCTCTGTTATCAGTCCCAAATTGATTCCTAGTTCTAGATAGTCCCTCATACTTATTAGCTGAGTTGAAGTGAGTATTCCCTTCTCTAAAAAGGACTCCGACTTAGTGTCAAATAATGTGCCAGGAAGTTCTGGTGGCTGCATCAATGTTTACTCTTCCAGAATCAGTTTATCCTAGGATGGCACGGAAAGTGTTAAGGACTTCTCTGGGCCTCTCTTCTAAGTAGCTATTGTAAGTCAGCAAAAGGCTGATGACAGTACCTGCGGGGCATGTGAGGCACCTCCTACTTCATCATTGTATAACAGTCCCCTTGAAAGAAGAGACTGGGAACATTTTCCTTTTCTCTTTGTGGCAACTTGGCCTTGTCATCTTTGAGTAGAGAGGTTTATTGCCAGCAATCTACATGACTTTGCTCATGTGGTCTTCTGGGGTAATTCACTTTCAATAGCTAATGAGTGTCACACTATTTAAAAGACACATTACCCATCAGGGCCAAGCTTTCAAGTCTGGCTTCCCTTTGAATTATGGTCCATTGGTTAGACAACCTAACAAGTATTTTGAGATTGCCTGTCCACGATGGCCATTTTGGCTTTATTAAGGCACGTGAACTCCATAGTAAGACTGGTATTATAACAGATATGCCATTTCCTTCCCAGGGCTGTTCCCAGCAGGGCCTTGGCCTTGTAACCTTTTCTCATAGCATGTTCTACATGCAATATCTGAGGATATAACTGTTGGCCACTAAGATACAAGATATTGTAGCAGGTTATTGGTAGCCATGGCTCCATCTCCCGTCTCCTCACTCTCCTGCTCATCCTCTTGCCCATTCTTAGGAATGCAAAGTGTAGGCCATAGTGTATTGTTTTTCTAAGACATTTCAGGAGCCAAATGTTGACCACAAGAGCTTAAAACTGAGCATACTCCCACAAGTATATGCCAGCATGAGTTAAACAGGTGCTCAATTCAGCTCCTGGGATATGCCAATAGCTGCACCTCAACCTCCATAGGAAGACATGCGACATGCTTCAGCTTTCCCCAGAAGGAGGACCTCTAGATATTAGTCCCCTCAAAAAGCCTACTTTCCCCATACACTCATCTCTCACATACACTGTCCATACAGCAGGACTTCTAGACGTGAGTCTAGCAACAAGGTGATTAACAAAACACATCTTCAGGACGTCAATGAGAAAACGTGAACAAGCCTGGAGAAGTTTATTAAGTCATTGTATGGGCCTTATTCTCATTGCAAAGCAATGAGCAAAAGCCTATATG